AATGTCAAAATTACATGAAAGGAAGAAGAGGTTCGGATATGCAAGTGATTAGTATTTCAGTGCATTTAAACGATGCAGAAGGGGGAAACTGACATCTGAAGCACTGCATAAAAGAAAAGATATGTAGTGACTTTCTCATTCAGAAACTGCTTTGTATGGTCAGTTTGTTCAGAATATCGTATTATGCCTTGAATAATAAGAAATGCTTAACAAGTGTCTGATTTCGATAGAGGCAGGATCGCCGCCTATCAAGAGTGTGGATTATCATTTGGTGATGTTGCCCATCGCACTCATCCAATCACTTTCATGTGAATATGGAATCCAATGGGTTGCTGAGGATCATACTGAACAGCATGCAGGTTCTCAACACCCACCAAGACTAATGCCCATGAGGTGAGACGTATTGTGAGGCCAATCCTGCAAAACTGTACACTTACATCACAGGCCATCAGTCAGGAAATCGGCATGTTTGAAGTATTCGCTTGTACAGTGTGTCAACGTTTACAGCAGCGTGGACTACTAGCATACCGACAATCACTTCGGCTTCCCTTGACAATGCAGCATAGAGAGAGAGACCGTGACTCTGATGTGCCGAGTGCCGAACGACAAAGCTGGATACAGGAGTGGCAAAATGCCATCCTTTCAGGTGAGTCCCAGTTCTGGGTGAAGTATTCTGATGGCCGTATACGTCGTATCTGGAGTCTCCGAGATTGCACGTTGCCTGCTTGCATTTGATATATCCTGGTGCATATCCATATATTTGATCCAGGTGCAGGGCTCCTGTTCCCAGTGCGATGGGTTGGGCAGCCATCGAAAGCACAACGTGCACATCTCTAGTTTGGATCGATGGTAATTTAAATGCAGATCATTACATTTTTAACATCTTGCATCCAGTGGTTGTGCTCTATTTCCAAAGCCTGCCAAATGCCATCTTCCAACAAGATAATGCAAGACCACATGTTGCACGCTGTGTTCTGACTTTCCTCGATACACAGGGTATTCGACTGCTACCCTGGCCTGCACGGTCTCCAGATCTGTCACCCACTGAAAACATCTGGTCATGGGTTGCTGAGAGACTGGCCCGCCACCCATCTCCAGCTGATATGGTTGATGAAGTGTGGCATGGACTTGAAGCAGCATGGGATGAGTTCCCCATTTCTCGTCATCCAAGCCCAGTTCAACTCTATGCCTGAGTGACGGCCGTTTTAGCTGCCAGAGGTGGCAGCTATTTCTACTAATTTTGCACATCTGTAAACCCCAAACTGCTTACATATTTAATCATCATTTTGTCTTGATGCCATACACTTTACAATAAATATCTTTTTTTTTAATTTGCTTTCCTTCGTGGTGTTGCAATTTTAATGGCCAGCAGTGTGTATATATACACACACACACATACACTCGTATTAGATGGACCGCAGGGAAAAAAAAACAAAAACAATAGCTCAAATTTCGACCACTAATAATTTGATGATAGCACATTTTATGCAATTTGAAAACGGCATTAGGAACTCTTCAAAATACATCAATGCCATAAAATCATTCTTTCCTATGCTTTTAGAGAAAAAGATTGACCTTCATTGACAAATTTGCATCACAATGTAAGAATAACAGATGTTTAATTTGCTTGGAAAAAGGACCCATATCAAAGAATGGTTTAAAAAGGTGATTAACAAATTTGTAGAGACTAGTCAGTTGGGTGTGCTGCCTTGAAGAGGTCCGAAATAATTTAAATAAAACTATGGAACTAGGCATTACTTACAGATGACAGAGCATTCTGTTCCCAGTATTCTCTGACAAGTGCTGGAGTGGTATCACATAAATTTTCTTTCTTTTGGTCTACAGTACAAAAAGTTCTGCTACACATTTGAAAGTGGTATCCATAAAACATCTACATGGTGCAAGCGCTACACCCTCCAGGCCTGTATGAATGTGCTAGTTTTTGCACCAGATGGAGCAGTGAATGCCTAGAACTCTTGTATATGGGATATTGCAAGTCTCAACATTATACATGAACAGCCTCTGCATTCTGATTGCATGGTATGGTTTTACTGCTGACTTCATTCTTTGCCCCTTTCTTTTTGAGAAGAGTACTTCCAAGGCCTTAAAAGATACTAAGTGGTTCAAATATTAATGGTACAGATTTTTTTTTTACCAAAACCTTTATTGAAAATTGTTTGGTTACTTTAATTATAGGAAAGGACGCTAGGACTATCTGCCTATTTATTGCAAATGAAAGAACTGAACATGTCATTCTTCCATGTACTTCCCAACACAGTGAATACATTGTCAATGTTACGGAAGCATTTTCATGCCCATTTCATAGAAGTTTTTCAGTTGGTTGTGAATCCACTTCTGAATACTAACAGTGATGGCATTGTTATTGATAAACTACATGCCTTTAAAGCACGGTTTAAGCCTGGGACATGGCATTGAATTAGTGAATCCATGTTTCATTGTGTCACTATGGCCTCCAATGCATTCCCTATATCTTCAATCCACTGTAGGAAAGACTGCAATCTGCATATGCATTAAGTTGCTCGTCTCTGAACGTATGTGAAATCCACCAACATACATCTTACCAGAGTGCAAATATTTTCTACACTGTAAACATTGATCAAGCATTGATGCAAATTCTTTGATAGTAATGTGCTTACGCAATCAATGTTTGTCTGGGTAGTAGATGTTCTCCCCGCTCTCATACTCAGTTAAGCACTTAACATCAGTCAAAGTATGGGTCCTACAAAGAGATTCTTCCCCATACTGAGCTTAATGTATCTGCCAAAATATCAGATGAGTGTGTTTTCTCGAACAAGAAATTTGATCACGATGCATAATTCCATACCTGAAGCAGTTGTTTTTCGTTTATTACTCTAGCATCTGTCAGACTTGACTGAGAAAATTCTAATCTTCACTTGAGATAAGGTGGTAAAAGTGGCTATACTCACACACAGGTACACAGCACTGTACACATGCAGTGATTCGTATGAGCGACAGTGCCAATCATTTTTTAATCCCCTTGTATACCATCATGAGTACTAACTACTACATACTTCTGCAGCAGCAAGTCATTTCATGCATTATATGAATGAGAATGTTAAGGGAGTACTGTCTTCATGCAATATGATGTTCATGCTCCTTACCGGCAGAGAAGTGAAGGAACTGGTATAACCTCCCTTCGGAGATGATAAAATATAATTAGGGGAAGTTAACTAAATGCATATCCTCCTTGTTCTTCAGAACTTTAAACCCTATGCCTTTCAATTGTGGCAGTGGTATGTCTTCAGCAGGCTAGTCCCTTAAAACTTTGTGCATTAATATTTTCAAGTATATTTTTACCTAAGATTCAAAAGCATTACAAGAAACATAATTTTACTCCATTTGAGGCTGCGCACAATTTCAGTGTAGTTGGATGGATGTTCACTTAACAGGAGGGAGCTTGAATTTTGTTCAGTCTAAATGTCAGAAAAGACCAACCTGTTTCGCCTGTTCCCATAGCTGCCATAGAGATACTGTTAACTATTGTGTTAAGTCATTAAAAATTTTAATTTTTTAGGAATTCTCATAAGCGAAATTAATTATACTTTTAAGTACTATATTTCACTTCATCTTCATGAAAGCATTCTTATACTATGTGAAAGAATTCAAAGTAAAATATATTGATGCAGTAATTTAAAGATTAAAACTATCGAGAGCAAAACAGAACAAAAAAAGCTAGACCTCATGCAAGAGATTACACAGCATGTACAAGCAAGCTCCCAAGCCGTTTTACAACAACATGCACATTAACTGCTAATCTTATTCCTCAATGACAAGATTATTCAATCCATATCAGAAACCCTTATCTTACTCAGCACTGCAGACTTGAAAACACATCTTATTCAAAGGAAACTTAATTTTCAGAAGTAAGCCATCAACACTGTGCATGATTAAAAAAGATATGTGATCTCTAGTCCCTATAGCAAAGAACTGCAAAAGTCAATATATTCATAACTCCAGAATCAGTGGGTTGATAAGCAGGGTTGTTCCAAACTGAAAAGTTGGATTCAAACCTGGGTATGGACATATATAACAGAAATGTGTTTCCAAAACAGAAAATCCTGAAGTCTGCAAATCCAAAAGGCCTTCTGTGTGGCTGATGGTAGAAGAATCTTTAATTCTGCAGTTCCTGTTCTCAATCAATATTGGGATGGTCATGAGCAATGTAATACTTTTTATCACTTATGTTCATGAACGGATTGGATTATTTAAAATTATGGCAAAGCAAATAAGGGTATCTAAAAAAAAAGGTATCTATATGGAGGGCTTTTTAAGTGAAATTAGCTTGTATTCAGAATTAACGCATGAAAACTTTTGCAGCAAACCAATTTGTTGGAATCAGAACCCAGGTTGAACTACCAATGTTCAGTGGTTTTACAACTCAGCCATTGGTTGTTACTCCACTGGTGATCCAAATTTGTAAATAACAGGTCAATATGCTCTCAATCATGATTATTTGTGTGGCCATCTTTATGGCTAATGACAGGAGGCACTGAAAAAGATGTGTATAAGAATGAAGTCTATTTTACAAACATCTAACTGCTTAAAAATTGGGAATTTTTAAAAATGTTTCCGATTTACACAAACAAGCTTCACTATCAAAGTCTGTATTTATATGACTGAACTCTTCATGAAATTATATTTTTCAAGAGCAAAAAATGGACAGAAAAAGTGTTTATAGAAAATTACAGTATAAAATTTGTGAGCAACTCCCATTAAATAAGACATTCCAAGTGAAAAGAATTACATCAATAAAATGATGAAACTCTACATGTAAAGAAAGATACGCCATAACATCATTAAGATATACAACTTCGCCTTATTTGTGAAACAAATGACTTGTCCTAAATAACACAAAAACATGAAATATTAAAGTATCATATATGTAAAGTCATATGTGAAATTTATCACAGAAACAAAGTCAATTTAGAGCAAAAAAAAATAAAAAATAAAATAAAAACCTGTAACATCACACAAGCTTGAATGTAATCATCAAATGTGATGGAATTTGTATTATTCCTATCGAACTTTTTTATTAACAGGTCATAAAATACATCAGAAAGTCGAAAACCTAAAAACAAATGAAAATCAGATCAGATCTCTGCAGGATTACTATAAAATACGAAGATAAATAATTTTTAAATACATTAAATCATCATGGGTTAAAGATACAAAGTAAACATAATAATATTTTACACAAGAAAGCTACATTAAAATTCCACGTTCACCTATCAATATATTTTCAGTGACACAAATTTTAAAGTATAATTATCTGGGAGAAAAAATGCTATCCAAGACATCTGATGATTTAGACTATAACTTGAAGTAACTTAAAAAAAGTATTGCAGCATGTAAAATGCAATCCCCCCCCCATTCATGAACAGCAGCATCTCTTATTATTAAATAAAACGAACAGATAAGAAATAAATTTTCTTTATCAAAACATTTACAAAGTTTAAAATCACTGTTTCTAGAAATATATATAAGCATATTGATGCAAAAACAATATCAAGCACATATATTAATCCTCAAATGGAGTCATGAAACTTCCAGAATGTTAATGGCACTGTGTCTGTTAATTCCATTAGACTTTCTTCACTTAAACGATGAGAGATGAAGAGATTTGAATATTAAATGCATATTTTTAAAGATTTATATTTTTCTCTATTATTAGACTTATAAATTTTATAAATAAACCACTGAGTTAAAAAATTATGCTTTCTATTAAACCAACTTTTGTATTTCTTAATAGTTACAAAAAATAATACTGGGTGTTAAAAAATGTGGCTACATGCTGTATTTTCTTGACTATTAAGCCTAAATGCAACTTGTAATTTGAGTTTATCAAAATGTTGTAAAGAATTTTATTTTCATTTTACTGCAACTAATACATTCAGTGTGGCTCAACTATTTAGTAAGTCAGCCTATTTCTACTAGAGCCCTGTTTAATTCAAAACCAAGTCTTAATAAAAGAAAAATCCTTGATTAACATTGCAGTCTCAGAAGAATGGAAGTTGCATCATTTTAATGCTGAAGTGAGGAGCAAAAATTATAAGCTTAGCATGTACATCTATCATTAAGGTGTACTCAATGCGAACTGTCACTACCAGCAACACAAAGATAAACACAATCAGTATGAGAGATCAGTGAGAAAAGACAAGTTGAAGACAATGAAGACAGGGCTGAAGTAGAAATAGGATTTGTTTCATAAATTGGGTAAAGAGAGAAAAAGCTGTATTCCACACAACGTATGCACAGTGAGAGAAGAGATGACAGCCAAACCATCAAAACCTTTTGTGAATGGTGATTTTATTATTAAAAAATACTTTTTTTGTCAAAGGTGTTAAAATAGACTGGATGTGCAAAGACATTTCAAACCATCTCACCGTCCTGCAATATGGTCACTGAAAAGTAACTGAACTAGTATCCAATCTCGATCATCAACTGAAATTACGAGCATCAAGCTTTATAAATTATTCCAATGCATGTGATGAGAGTACAAATATTAGCGGTGCATCATTAGCCATATTTCTTCACGCTCATGATGTGGAATTCTACATTTTTGAGGAACTACTAGATACTGTATCATTACATAACATTGCAACTGGAGAAGATATATTCACAGCTACTTGAAAATTTGTAGAAAACTGATTTACATATGTTTAAGCTGTCTTATGTGGCCAAGGACGAAGTCCATTAAATGACTGGAAAAAATAGTGGCTAAAAACAATTTTCCTCATGTCCACTGTATATATCAACCAAAATGTTACGCCCAGAAGCGATTAGTAAAAAACATTTGGTTCATTAATTACAGAGCTGCAGCAAAATTGGTAAGCCAGTGTATTTCTTTATCTTTCTTATTAAATAACAGAATTTACAACGTTTAAGATGAAAAAGCAAGTAGCTAAAGCCAAGTTAAATCTTTAAAACCCAAAGCCTTCGCTACCCTGTATGTTAAAATACCGAACCGCCTGAAATGGTTTTCGAAAGTTGCAACAATTTCCTCCCCTTCCCATCCATTAACGCACAAAGAAGAATGAAGGTTTCAAATGACATCCTTTCTACTTCTAACAAATAAAGATAAGAAACCACAAATAAATCCTTTTAGGACATGCTCTCTGCAACAAATTGATACAATGCATTTGGGGAAACTGCACCTGCTACTGCATACCTTAGGGAAGGGAAGAAAGCAACATCGGAATTTTGGCTGTTTGGAGCGGTCGATATGGTCTTCAAAGAGTTAACTAAACAAAAGGAGAAAATTACAGTGACTTATGGCTCTGCTGATTACGCTCAGAACTTTTTAAATCTAGATTAAGTAATGTAATGACTGAAATTTCAGATATTGTTAGAAATATTGTTGTAGTTTGTGAAGAGAAAGATATTGACGTGTTTACTGAAGTACATCGAGATATCCAAGATACTGTTGATAAGTTATTTTTAATGGTAACCAGAATTAATATTAAGAATGTTAAAGGTATCAGTGTGAAAACTAAATCTTGTGAAATAGCGAATATTCGCTTACCTATGCTAATTCTTCCTATATTTAGTGATAGTGCTGAAGAATGGTTCTCATTTTTTGATTTATTTAAAGTGGCTATAGTGGATAATGACAGATTATTGGGTGCACAAAAATTACAATATTTAAAATGTTCTTTAAAGGGAGATGCATTAATCATTGTTCAGGCTTTAAGTATTTGTGACAGAAATTTTGAAATCGCATGGAATTTACTGTGTCAAAGATTTTCACATGCGAGAATTACTTTCATCCTTATTAAAGAAAATCTTGTATTTATCAAATTTACAAACTTAAAATCCTAGTCATTTATTAGCGTTGATAGATACCGTGAGAGAATGGATATGTTCTTTTGAGAATTTGGATTTAAAGTAGAACAATTCACGGATATTATTTTGATGTTAATAATGCAATTTAAATTAGATTCTTCTACAAGAAGATGGTGGGAAAGAACATTAAAGCATGAGGAAATCTCAACCTTTAATGACCTGTTTGAATTCTTAAAATCTCATGACAGAACTCTGCAAGCAGGTAAGCAAAAAAGTGTTAAAAAAACAAAAAGACAAATTAACCTCATTGGCTTCAGAGATTTAAATGCAGTGTACGTATTGTAAAGATATTCATTCAGTATTAAAATGCAGTAAGTATTTAAATCTGAATATTCAGGAGCATGTTAATTTTGTCAAGAAAAACTGTGTGTTTTAATTGTTTAGTTTAAAATCATAAAGCTTTCGAGTGCAGAAGTACTCATAAATGTAAAAAGTGCTTTAAAAAACATCACACATTACTGCATTTCAAAAGAGTTCAAAATGAACCAAAACCGCATAAAGGAGTTACGAACAGTTTGAACGAATTATTGTTGATGGCTAAGCCATTTTTCCCCACACCAGAACCTCGTACTCAATCGGCCAAGTCAGGGCAGAATTTCGTAAGTTCTAGTCCAGTAATTACATCCTGTGTATCAGACTTTAATTTTCAGCGTGAAGTTTTATTATGCACGGCTGTTATTAAAGTGTTAGATTCATCTGGTGAATACCAGTTGTGCATACCACTCCATGATCCCGGCAGTCAAGCGAACCTGATTACAGAAGCATGCATACAGACCTTAGGTTTACCAAGAAGAAATGCAAAAGTTTTTATTTCATGTTTAGGGTTGCTGGATATGAAAACTAACAGAATTGCACAAACAAATTTCGTCCTGCATTATCCAGCGAAAGTGTCATTTACAATACCAGTATTTATCATCAACAGAATTATTGGAACATTGCCACATTTTACATCAGGTAAGAAGCACACTGAGGAATATAATGTTTTAATGTTGGCGGATCCAACATTCTATAAGAGTGGGCCTGTTGATATGCCTCTACACATAGATATCTCTTTACCTCTTTTGAAGGGGGAATGATTAAATGCGAAGAAGGTAAAAGAGTAGCCTCTTATTCTGAACAAGGAAAAAAGTAGACTCTCATTCTGAACTAGGATGGATTATTGTGAGTAATGTGAATAATTCAACAGAGGTTAAAAGCACTATCCGTGTAAATAATATACAGGTACAAGTGGAGACAGCAATTGCTGTCAACTTTTGGAAATTGGATGCTGTACCTACATTTGATATGTTTACCAAATTGGAGAGAGCATGTGAGAGTTACTTCAAATCCTCATTTACAAGAGAGGAAAGTGGTGTAGATACTGAGAAATTGTCATTTCATTCTCTGCCTTCTCAGCTTGGAGATCTGAAACAGCTACGCATAGATTCAAGTCTTTAGAGAATTCACTTTTAAAAAGGCCCCAGATCTAATGAACAATATAAGGATTTCCTGGGGGAGTACCTTCAGCTGAGACATACGGAAAGAGTACCTGAGAGATTTTCACTGATTCTATGAATTATGTGCCTCATCATGCCATGTTGAAAGAATCAAGTACTACTCAGCTGAAAGTCGTTTTTAATACTTCAGCTAAAACAGCGTCAGGACTTTCATTAAATGACATTTTTATGGTTGGGCCAAGAGTTCACCAAGAGCTGTTTGCAATTCTTCTTACGGTTCAGAACTTACAAAATTGCAGTATGTGCCGATATAGAGAAGATGTTCAGACTAATTTGTGTTGACCCAGAAGATATAAATTGGCAACAAATGCTATGGAGGGATAGTTCTAGTGAGCCCTTGAGTACATTCAGATTAGTAACAGTTACACATGAGACTACCTGTGCACAATTTTTGTCTACTAGACTAATGAAACAACCTACACCAGATTACAGAAATTAATGCTTTTTGCGACACTTCAGAAAAAGCTTATTGTGCAGTCATCTACCTCAGAACAATCACCTCTGATTCTTCAGTCAAGGTTAGCCTTCTGATATCAAAAACCAGAGTTGCTCCCTTAAAAACCCAGTCTCTTTCAAGAATAGAGTTCTGTGCTGAATTACTTTTAACCAGCCTCTTACATGCAGTATTATCATGCATAGAACTACCAATTAGAAGTATTTATGCATGGGCCGAATCACGGGTTACATTGGCATGTGTTGCGTGCAAGCCTCGCCACTGGCTACCTTTTGTGGAAAATCCGGTGGCAAAGATTCAGGAAGCTCTTCCAGGTATTCGATGGAATTGCGTTGCTGGAAAAGTAAATCCTGCAGACTGTGGAACCAGAGGTCTTATTCCATCAGAATTCTTAGATTGCAAGTTATGGATGAAGGGACCACAGTGGTTAAATAAATCTATAATTCATGTACAGCAAGATTTAAACATAGAATAAGAGAATGAGGTTATGCTAAGGGATCTGAAAAAGAGTTTTATTTCAAAGGTTTTCAATTCTGAAGACCCTAGTGTATTTTCTAGAAGTTTTCGTCATGGTTAAAGCTATAACGAGGAGATGTTAGAGAATGAAGTTATGTTAAGAGAAACGAAAAAGACTTATTTCAAATGTTTTCAATTCTGAACAGCCTAGTGTATTTTCTCGAAGTTTTCATCATGGTTAAAGCTATGTCGAGTGTTAGTATGGTGTATTAGATTCAGAAATAATTGTAATTAGTTACCTGCACAGCATACAAAGGGTTTTTTATCTACAGAAGGACTTTTTGAAGTTACTTTTATGATTGTTAAGAGTGTACAAACAGCTGAATTTTTAGAAGAATTATTCGGCTTAGAATCGAGTAAACCTTTGAAGACATCAAACAAGCTAATTGTCTTTAAATCCTTTCTTAGATTCTGCAGGAATAATGAGTGTAGGTAGAAGGCTTAGAAACACTACAATTTCAAATAATCAGGTAACTCCCTATGATTTTACCTAAGAATCATAATATTACGTGTTTGATTATCAAGCATTATCATGAAACATATCTTGACGCAGGTACCTAATTACTCATTTCTGTCATACAACATAGAGGTGCAACTCAGTTAATGGCAGATTTACCTGTTTCAAGAGTTACTCAAAGTAAAGCTTTTTCTCATGTAGAAATCAATTTAGCAGGACCATTTAATATCAAATATCATTCTGGTAGAGGAGTTAAAAATCAAGTGTTATGTATGTCTATTTATTTGTTTTACTGCAAGAGCAATGCATTTAAAATTAGTTGGAGATCTTTCAACAACATCATTTCTTGCAGCACTTAAGAGGTTAGGCAAACTGTGTGAAATTCATAGTGATTGTGCAAATAACTTTATACGAGCTAATAAAGAATTAAAGAAAGGTTTTTCAACTGTTCAGCATGATGAACAGCTTCAGGGTAATATTTCTTCAAAGAATATTAAGTGGTTATTTAATACAACCTCTGCACCTCATTTTGAAGGACTCTGGGAAGTGGGAATCAAGTCCATGAAATATCACTTAAAAATATGTTTAGGAACACTTATTTTAACATACGAGGAATTTTTGACATTAATAAACCAAATTGAATCTTGTCTTAATTCTAGGCCTTTGGCACCAGCTTCAAGTGCTTGCAATGACCTGGAACCCATAACACTTCTTGACAGGAGTGGCTTTAAGCACTCTTCTAGAACCTAACGAAATTAAAAAAAAACTGAGTTACAGTGATTGGTGGAACACCTTAAAAGGCTATTTCAACACTTCTCGGAGAGATGAAGTCATGAGTATTTATCTAGGTTGCAGCAAAGAGACCTAAGTGGTGCAAGTTGCAGCAAGATCTGAAAGTTGGCAATATGGTCCTCATTAAGAATGAGAACCTACCTCTGCTACACTGGAAATTAGGTAGAATTGTTAAAGTGTATCATGATCTGGATGACACAGTTTGAGTGGTGAGTAAAGAGATCTATACCAAAGGTATGTCCTTTGCCATTTAAATCATGATATTAGAGAGTTAATTTTTTTATTTTTCAGGTCTACTCAGTTTTGACAATTTACAGCTTATTGTTAGAAACCCCTTGGGACTTCAAGGCTTGGAGATTTGTTTGCTGTTATGCAAATTGTATTTCTAGTCGCTGAGCTGAGTAATGACACAGAAGCAAATTTGTTATGGTTTTTAAGCATGCATTTGAAGCTTCAGGGTTGATGGAGTACCAACAATGCAGAGGTTCTTTTGAGATGCACTTCTAAAGCTAGAGGTTTCAGAGTTCTTGAGTCACCCTTCCTCAGTCCAATGTGACATTTGAAAAGCCAATAAAGAGATTCGGTCAAGATTATGACTCTGAAGTTTCTGAGTTCTACTAAGGAATCACAAGTCAACCTACAGTCCACTATTCATGAGAGACGGAACACAGAGGTGTCTTGAGTTACAAGCACTAAAGTTGGCAACAGATGACTTTTGAAGCTATTTTGAAGTAACCTATGCTACAGAATTAATACTCTGGGTCTTCTTCAAACATTATTTTACTATTTTCATTGCTTAACTCTCAATAACAAAACCTGGCAGCAAGTGACTTACAGGACCAGGAATACAACATGCAGGAAATTAAGGCAAGATTATATTGCAGGCAAACATTTGAGGGCTTTGACACATAGGACCTTTTTTCATTTGTTACCTAGGATACCATATCTCTAGTGTCGAACTTGAAAGTTAACAACGAACATGAGGAGAAATTGCTAGAGGGTCCATAAAAATGAACTGTAATAGCTGCAACAGTTTCAGAAGTGACAACAAAAGACAATTTGGAAGGAAATGTCTTCAGAGGAAGAGAAGGAAGAAGAGATTACTAATTCTGTGACATGCAAATTTGAAAAGCATGTACATTTTCAATGACAATACAATGCCTTATTTTAGAAAAAATTTTAAAAATATAGATGACAACATATCATAGGAAACAAACTTTTAGTGAAACGAAAGCTTGCTGAGTATAAAACAGAATCGAATAGTACTAAAAAAGAAAAGATTAAAGAAGAGGCATCAAGAAGATATTTACTTGATGTTTTTATAGAAAGGGACTCCTCATCCAAATAATATCTCTTCCTTATCACTCTCTACTTATGCTATTCACACCCTTCAGGTATAGCAAAATTAATTTTCATTTATTTTATCTGTTCAATAATGTTCATCTTTTTTGTCTTAGATTTAATGATTTCCATTGGTTTTGTGCTATGAACTTGTACATAAAGTTCTGTTGTAAAATTCAAACAAGTAATCATCTGTGGTCCAAAAACAAATCAATCCATTTTAATTCCCATGGGAAGAATAGTTTGGGTTTCCAAACTTCATGGGTGATGATGAGCTTTCAGGAACAAATTAAATTTCTGAAATGTGGTTTCACTGTATAAAGAAAAATAAAGACACATTCTGAAAATTCTTTGACAACATCATGTGATCAAAAGGTACTGAAAAAATGTAAGGCTCATTTATTTTTCAAGGGCCAGTATTTTAAATTTGCTGAAAAAGAATCTTATAATGACAACTGTGCCTCACACAAAATATAATTTAAATACTATTACAAAATTAATTATTAAGATTACATTAAATGTCAACTTATTACACCCTGCTCAAATATATATTATTTGAAACTGTCAAAATGTATACACACCAAAAGAAGAAAATGCCGTTTTGAGCTCATTCTTGTCAATTGTTCCAGAACCATCTTTATCAAAGCTTTTAAAGCAATTTAACCAATCTGTAACATATTTCCACAGAGCACAGAACTCATCAAAATTAACTGTTCCATTGCCATCCTGATCAAACATTCCTGCAAAACAATAGAAAATTAATAGCAGATTAATCAAAATGTACAGTTAATGCATATTTTAGTTATTTATAAATTTAAAAATTCAATAGAATTAAATTTTTAATAAGTTTCAATTTTACTAATTATGGACACACTGAATATTTTTATTATCCTTACCTTTAAAAGGGAAAACGATATTTTTGGTCAACATCTCAAAATATTCAATAAACCAAATTTCAGTATTTATGTATTATCCTGTCAACTGTGATTGCTAGCTGCCACCGAGTCACGTAAGTTGGTGGAGATCCCACCAAAGTTAAACCAATCATTTCTACAGAATTCTGAATGAACTGATGACTCTTTATTTAATAAACTATCATATTCAACTTGCTTTGTTTTGCACTTAATAAAATGCATTCATCAATTTATTAATTTGTGAGGTCCTCCACTTTTTACCACAAGCTCTGCTTAGAATGCTATGAGCTCAAACCTCTTGCAAGTAATAATACCAATCTTTTACTGCTTTGCTGGCCATATTCAGCTGACCATAACATGTTCATTAATACACACTTTTTTATGGTATGATGCCATAACCACTGCTTGCTATTGCATAGAAGGCAGGCCCCAAGTGTTCACTTTTTTAAATGCAAGGGGGAAAAAATAACAATAACAGTTTATTTAAATCCTTGTAAATAAGCATAAATCATGGCTTTTCGAGCATCAATTGGGTTTACATCTAATAAAAGTGCAGATAACATGAATATGTTGTCATGTCATGCTTGTCCCTAATTGGGTCAATCCCACTGCTTGGCAATAGCTTCATGACTGACAGGATAATATATAAGTACCCAAATTTCCTTTTCCACAATCAATGCAATACATAGGCATATAAGGTATAACTTTCCAGCATTACATTTACATCAGCTCATTGCTTGTGTAATGTAGTTTTTTTAAGTGGGTTTCAAAGAAATAATAAAATAAGTAACATACTAATTTAATCTACCAGTAATGTTCATTTAATTTAAATAACCATAATTATTTATTTTATTTAATTTGAATCTGTACTGTGACTTCTCTCTTTCCATTTTCCCACCAGAATGCAAATTAGTTCACATGTATTAGAGGTCTTGAGATTGCTACGACAGTAATGACATGAGTAGTGTGTTCTACTACTCATGGCTACATTACTAGGTTTTCTACTTTAAGATAAGAGTTCCTTTCAGCCTCGCATTATAACTGCTGATAGTTGAAATCAACGTTGGTGAAGTTCTGAACCAACTCAGCATTTTAATTGCACTGTGTAGCCTTTGGCTACTAGTTTATTTAAATTTAACCTTTAACTTACTGATTTTCAGTTTCCCACCATAAATTCTGGTGGAACCGTAAGCACAAGGAGTGATTTCTTTTCAACTTATTTAGTTTTAAATAAAGAATCGTTTAACTCTTCCCAAGTTTATGTTATACTTAGCAATAAATCGCTTATCATCTACATAAAGCTTAACTTAGATGATAGCCAAGAGAGTTAAACTTTACATATTATACATTCCTATTTGAATCAAGGACATTCTTCCAATGATGTAAAAAGTTTTTGATGATATTATCCAAAAGAAATCAGCTGCCTTACTGTCAAAAGCCTCAAAGACCTGTTTCAAGTGCCTCATATGAATTGCATTCTTTACCATCAATGAAATTTACAAGCTTTGAACCACCAGTCACTAGTCAGTCAGTCAGTTCTTCTCTGTAGGTTCATGTGGGATCCTCCTACCAAGCTTATGTACGATTTCAAATTCCATCAAATGGCAATGAACAGTTGCTAAATTAGCATCATTTGACAGCTCTTCAGTGGCATATGGATTTCTTTCTAATGCAGCTTTTAGCACTGTAGAAACTGTATTGCACCAGATGGCGCTGTGTGCGCTTGAAATTCTTCGGACTAGTGCAGAACCTTGATGATTGCAAAAGTTGTAACACCAATGCGAAACATTAACCAAAGTTTATATGTGTTTCTATTTGTTGTAAATGTATTTAATTGTGTCGTCAATAAAAATATGTAGAAAATGATAAAAGGCGAGAATGCGTCTGACAGGTAAGTGAGATTTCTTTATATTTTGATTTGAATTGAGTTTTAGCGACAAAGAATGTATATGAGTATTTACAAATCTTTTTGGTGCCGATAATCCGGAAGAGACCTTTAGATAAAGTGAATTGCGAATTGAATACTGAAAAACGTATTTAGCGAATTGAATAATTTAAATTGTTACGATGGATATTGAAGCTTTAAAAAAGATTAGAGCACCTGTCAGACGTGCGGCAACTGACACGATGAAACTGATAGAAACTGAAATAAACAAACAGGAAAGATCGGTTGATTTAATTGATGAACTTTTAGCAAAATTTTTAGATAAAGAAGCTAATTTAAAGTATCTTAATGAGGAAATTCTAAAACTGTGCAAAACGGAAGAAATAGAAAAGAAAATTGAAAAACAGCAAGAATATAAAGATAATATTACTGAAAGAACGAATGTTGTAGAAACCAGAAGTGAGCAGCGGAATACAGTAAAACTTCCTCGCTTGCAGATACCTCAATACGATGGCAATATATTAAGGTTTAACGAATTTTATTCTCAGTTTGAAGTAGCTATCCATAAAAATGTGAATCTTAGTAATGTAGAGAAGTTTAGTTATTTAAAATCGTACTTAACAGACGAAGCTGAGGTAGCTCTACGTGGTTTAGCATTAAGCTCTGAAAACTATGAAATTGCCTTGAACATATTAAAAGAATGCTTTGGTCGAAAAGATATTATTATCGATGCGCATATGGCAAGACTTTTAAACTTAAGTCCAGTACGAAAATCATATGACATTGTAGCGTTGCGTAGACTTTACTCAGAATGCGAAACACATATTCGAGGATTAGAAAATAACGGAATTAATCCTAATAGTTACAGTTGTCTATTGTATCCAGTGTTGTTAAAATCGATACCCAAAGATTTGTCCTTAGAATTTTCTCGTAAAACACATTCGGAAATGAAAACAAAATATCTGATTTATTGGAATTTTTAAAGATTGAAATTCAGTGTCGTGAACGTAACGAGTACTTAAGTAGAGACTTTAATTTAAACACTTCAGATTCGCGATTGGAAACTAAATTTAATCCTTTACAAAAACCTAATGGGAGATTTAATAAAACCAAAATTGAATGTAAAGGGAAAAATAAATTAAATTCGAACATTCCTACTACTTCTGCATTTATTGTTGATGTGAAAAAATGTATATTTTGTACAAAACCGAAAATAGAGCACGATTCTACCTCTTGTCCCTTATCGGTAGAACAGAGAAAATTAATTCTTAGAAAATATGGCATATGTTATGCTTGCCTTTCGAAGGGGCACATATATAAGCAGTGTCAAAAGAAATCTATTTGTGGAATTTGTAAACATTTTATGCATAACGAATTGATTTGCGATCAACCCAATGTTTATTCTTCTTCCCCCGCTCTGGAGTCTCGTCAGACCGTCGACGCGAATAAATTAAATGTTGTGTCTTCCGTAGCATGTGTGAATCAATCCGATGATTGCAACATACTACTTGAAACTTGCTCGGCAGTATTAATAGGCAATAATAAAAGTAAAGAGATTAATATTTTGTTAGATAATGCGTCACAGAGATGTTTTTTGAGAAAAGAGTAGCCGTAGAAATGAAACTACCCATAATTAGGCAAGAAAGTCTAGCTGTTTACACTTTCAGTTATAGAGTGCCAATACAAAAAACGTATGACGTAGTTCGGTTTACACTTTGTAATTTATGTGATTCGGACAAGAAAATAACGATTGAAGCACTTTTGACTGACTGTATTTCTGGATCGCAGTTTAAAGTATCACATAACAAATTAATGCAAATACTTTCGAGGAAGAACATTCAGTTGTCAAACTTAAGTAAATCGTCAGGAAATGAATTGTCTCTGCTTATTGGAGCACAGTATTTTTGGGATATTCATACGGGAGAAAAACAGCGATTAAATAAATCTTTGTATTTGATTGATACTCTGTTTGGAAGGGTTGTTCAAGGTCGAATCCCTCCATCAGATTTAAATGCGAATCGGGATATTTCTATTATGAAAATTGAATGTTGCGCCGCATTAAATGAAAAACTAACGCAGTTTTGGCAGTTAGATTCAATGGGGATAAATGATACTCACAGTGGAGATTTTAAATTTAAAGAGGAATTTATTTCTCAATTCGAAAGTAATTTAAAATATGAAAATGGAATGTATACAACTAAATTATTCTGGGACGGTAAACCAGAAAACTTGTCTAACAATTTCGCGGTAGCAAAACGAAGATTTCGTAACTTAAGTGTAAAAATGAAAGAAAATGATTGGGTTTATAATGAATATAAGAATATAGTTAAGGAGCAATTAAAACTGAATATCGTTGAAGAATGTCCTTTCGGCTTAGAAGAGAATTCTTATTATATGCCTCATTCAGCTGTAGTAAGATCGGATAGGGACACTACGAAAGTCAGATTGGTTTTCGATGCATCGTCAAAAGGTAATGGGTGCAAATCTCTTAATGAATGCTTGAATCCTGGGCCACCGTTGAATCCCAGAATTTTGGATGTAATCTTGCGATTTCGCGAATATGAATATGCATTCAGCTGTGATATTCAGGGAGCATTTTTGACCATAGGAATAGCGGAAGAGGATAGAGACTATTTACGTTTTTTCTGGTTTCCAGATGAAAGTGATTCAAAAAGCTTACAAAATTTTACGAATGACTCGCGTTCCCTTTGGAGTGACATCAAGCCCATTTATCCTTGCTGCGACTATTAAATACCACATTAGAAAATATAAACTTGAACAAAGCGAAACTTGTGAAATGCTTGACTCGGCACTTTATGTAGATGATCTTTTTTACAGGAGCAAATACAATAGAGAAAACTTTAGAACTTTCACAGAGCGCTGTAAAAATTCTTAAAGATGCGAACATGAATTTAAGAAAATTTAATACTAATTCGGATGA